GGGAAGGGGGCCTGCCAGGGGGCGGCACCGAGGGACTCGGAGCCCCGGAGTGGGCGGGGAAGGGGGCCTGCCAGGGGGCGGCACCGAGGGACTCGGAGCCCCGGCGTGGGCGGGGAATGGGGCCCTGCCCAGCAAGGAGGGGAAGTGACAGTGTCCCCAGTGCACCAGGTTAAGCAGCTCCCAGCTAGGCTGGGCTGGACACTCAGAGACCCACCAACCCAGCAGATTCCCCCATGGGCCCTGTTCCCCTGGCTGGGTCAGGCGACGCTCACCTCTGCCACTAGGCCCTGGCCCCGTCCTCCACAGCCAGCAGCTGGCACAGCTCTTGCGTGTGCCGATCCTCAGATGCCACCTCCTTTGTCGCTGTCTCTTCCTCCAGCTGGAAAGGACGCAGACACCTGAACGAGGTGCCCCGGGGCAGTGCGATGCCAGGGCTGGGGTGACTGAACCCCCAGGGGGGTGTGCAGGGGTTATAAGAACGGCCAAACTGGGGCACACCAAAGGTCCACCCAGCACAGTGTCCAGTTCCCACAGCAGCCAGTACCAGGTGCCCCAGAGCAGTGGTTCTCAACCAGGGGTCTGGGGCCCACTGTGGGGCCATGAGCAGGTTTCCGGGGGTCCGCCCAGCAGGGCTGGCATTAGACCTGCTGGGGCCCAGGGCAGAAAGCCGAAGCCCCACCACCCAGGGCTGAAGCCCGGGGCTCCAAGGCCGGACACCAGGGTTGAAGCCAAAGCCTGAGCAACTTGGCTTCACAGGGCCCCTGTGGTGTGGGGCAGCGGGCAGCTTACCCCCCCCCCCCTAACGCCAGCCCCGGCTTTTATATGCAGAGAAACAGTTGTTGTGGCACGGGGGGGCCACGGAGTTTTTATAGCATGTTGGGGGGGCGTCAGAAAGCAAACTCTTGAGCAGCCGTGCCCCAGAGGGGCTGAACGGGGCACTTAGCAAGTGCTCCATCCCCTGGTGTCCAGGCCCAGCTTTGGGAAGGCAGACGGTTAGGGACACCCAGCGCATGTGGCTGCATCCCGGCCCATCCGGGCTAATAGCCATTGATGGATCTAGCCTCCGTGAATTGATTTGTGTCTTTTTTGAACCCAGTTATAGTTTTGGCCTTTACAGCCTCCCCTGGCAACACGTTCCACAGGCTGTGCGTTGTGTGAAGAAATACTTCCGTTAGTTTGTTTTAATCCTGCTGCCTGTTAATTTCATTGGGTGACCCCTAGTTCTGGTCTTATGTCACGGGTAAATAACACTTCCTTGTCTACTTTCTCCATACCAGTCATGATTGTATAGAGCTCTATCATATCCCCCCTTAGTCGTCTCTTTTCCGAGCTGAAAAGTCCCAGTCTTCTTAATCTCTCCTCATACGGAAGCCGTTCCAGACCCCTAATCTGTTGCCTTTTTCTGAACCTTTTCCAATTCCAATAGATCTTTTTTGAGATGGGGCGACCACATCTGCACGCAGTATTCAAGGTGTGGGCGTACCATGGATTTATACTGTGGCATTATGATATTTTCTGTCTTATTATCTATCCCTTTCTCAACGGTTCCCACCATTCTGGTAGCTGGTTTGACAGCCGCTGCGCATTGAGTGGATGTTTTCAGGGTTGAAGCTGGATGAGCAATGTCACGTGCTGCTGTGTGGGCAGAGCATGGGGGGCAGATGGGGGACAGCCCTGGGGAGACATGCCTGGCCCTGCACTGCAGTCTGGCCCCTCCCACCCCAAAGCCCATATATATCTGGCCTTGGACCCCCGCAACCCCATGCTTGCTCTGGCCTCTCCATTCCCTTCACACCCGGGGGGGGGGGAGGCACCTCTCAGTGCGTGTTGGGGAAACAACCCCTGGGAGCCTCGGGGTTAGAGCACAGGGTCCCAGTTGAATCTGTCTGGTGCACCAAATGGGGAGAGGACCCCCCCTCCCCGAGAGACAGTCCCTGGGAGGGGAAGGGGACAAGGAGGGGGTTCTGGCTGGAACCTCTGACCTGTTGGCGGATGTTGGTGTCTGCACAGGGACCGATGCCACGGAGGATCAGGGACACCACACAGCACCTGCCAGAGAGCGCAGCCTCTACTGCAGCCATCACCATGGAGGGGAACCAAAGCGCCAGGGCCGTGTCCTGTGGGGTGTGGCACAGGCAGGTCAGGGCGTGCAGGAGGGGGGCATGCAGGGAGCAGGGGGCGCCCAGGGGCGATGGATGGGCAGGGCCCGGCCCCGCAGCAGGGAGGGGGGCACGCAGGGAGCAGGGGGCGCGCAGGAGGGGGGCATGCAGGGGGCGCCCAGGGGCGATGGATGGGCAGGGCCCGGCCACAGCAGGGAGCAGGGGGCGCGCAGGAGGGGGGCATGCAGGGGACGCCCAGGGGCGATGGATGGGCGGGCCCGGCCCCACAGCAGGGAGCAGGGGGCGCGCAGGAGGGGGGCATGCAGGGGGCGCCCAGGGGCGATGGATGGGCAGGGCCCGGCCCCACAGCAGGGACTCACGTAGATGCGGGTGGTGTCGAAGGGGCAGTCGTTGGTGGCGATGGCAGCCCGGGCGTCGGCGGGAAGGGTGGAGCTGTTGCATCCCACCATCAGGCGGTGCCCCCGGCTGGCGACGGTGAGGGAGATGGCCAGAGCCAAGCCCAGGCTGCAGGCAGCAGACAGCAGGCAGTTCAGCAGCGAGACGCACAGCAAGGCCCAGTGCTGCAGGCAGAGACCAGAGCTGGTGGGCAGGAGCCGGGCAGCCACGTGGCGTAGCCCCACCCCCCGCAATGGGCCACTCACCAGCTCCAGCAGCCCAGGGGTGAAGTGGGCAGCGGCCCTGGGCCCCACACGCCCAAGCAGGGACCCCTCCCCTGCGCCGGGAGCTTCCTCCAGCAACTGGAGCAGCTGCTCCCAGACGAATGTTTCTCTGGGCCTCCATCGTCTCCCTGCACCCCAGGTCCTCGCAGGCCCACGGGGGCCCAGGGCACCTCCCTCCCCAGTGTCCACATGAAGCTGCAGGGGGCAGGGTCGCCCCTGCCGCGCCCGTTCCAATGCTAACCCATCCCAGCACCAATGAGCAACCGCGCCTGGCAGCCACTGCCCTGGCCTCACGCTTGGCAGCCCCCCCACAGTGCCTGCACCTGGCCCTGTCCTGGGCGCTTACGTCTGGTGTCAGACGCTCCCCTTGCCAGCAGAGCCATGGGGTGGGGGGGGCTTGGCACAAACCTGGGTGCCCTCTGCATGTGGCCATCTCCCAGTGCCCCCAGGCCCCACTTCTGAGCCTGGCGTTCCCTTGGGGACGCGGATGGGCCGTCCTGCACCAAGCCAATGAGGACAGTGTCTGAGCCAAGACGCCTGCATTACAGCCGTGCTGCACGGCCCAGTCACCCCCCCTCCCCCGTACAATGGGGTGGATGGATCTGCCCCCCTCCCCCCGGCTTTTGTCAAGGGCTGTAGGGGGTTTGCCTATGAGCGCTTGGTGGCAGGGAGCGGCTGTCCGGTATTTATGCAACACAAGCGGGTGCGGGGGGGTATGTAGCACCTGGCACAAGGTGGGGCCTTGCCCGCGGCTGGGGAGAGCGGGATGGTGCCTGGCACGGGGTGGGGCGGGGGCCTTACCCAGCCAGGGCAGGTCTGTGCAGAGCCCAGCACCCAGATCTCAGCCGGGCACACGGGGGATGGGGGGCTGCGTGGCACCTGGCCTGGGCGGAGACAGGGACAGGGAACAGCGCTGATGGAAAGAGCTGGGGCCTTATCTGCAGCAGGTGCGGCCTGTGAGGACGTAGCAGCAAAGCTGGCTGGGCCCACACGGCAGGAGCCGGGCAGCTCAGGGAGCAAGGTCCAGGGAGTGGCTGCTGCAGGCGCTGGGCCACAGCCCTGAATGCTGCTTCCTGCCCGAACTCAGCCCCCCTCCCCGCCCCCCCGGTTACCCGGCTGTGACCCCAGCATTGGCCTTCGCTCCCCGGCCCCCGGTGCTCACTCACCAGGGCTGCCTTGAGGAGGTTCCGGGACACCAAGATGGCCACAATCCCAGCAGTGATGCTCTAGGGAAAGACAGAGGGGGTCAGTCCCTCCCCCAGTGCAGCCCCACAGTGCAGCTGCCCCAGACCCAGCGGCTGGGTCCCTGGGGCGTAGCAACCAAAGTCGTTGTTAAATCAGGGGCCCTATGGCCCAGAAACTCAACCACACCTGGGCCGGGGGGGGACAGGCCCGGCCTCGCTCATGTCTCACTCCAGCGATGGTTCTGCTGTCGGTTCCTTGCATCGGCCTCGTCCCCACACCCCCAGCTCCAGCCTCGAGCGGCAGGGGAGGCGCTGGGCTGCCAGGGGTCAGCTGCCCGGCACGCGTCTCGCTCTGGGGTCGGCCAGGGCTGCAGTGGCCAAGTGCCGCCTTGTTCCTGCAGGCTCAGGCCCAGCCGGGCACGTGGCTGAGGGCCCAGCCGACCCCACGGTGCCACGCAGGGACTCATGCCGGCAGCTGGAGCCCCAGGGGCCAATGGGGGGGCAGGGTGAGCAATGGGGCTGCGGGGCCTGGAGGGCCCCACTCACCAGCAGCCCGGAGCCGACGGAGATGACGTTGGCAGTCGTGTACTCGGAGGTGACCGTGCGCTCAGGGTTGGCCACGTGGCGCAGGACCGTGCCGTGCACGATGGCGCCCAGGATGAAGTTCACGTGGCCCAGGACGATCAGGGTAATGCCAGAGCGCATGAGGCGCTGGGGTCCGCGCCCCAAGTCTGCAAGAGAGGCAGGCGTCAGGCCCCAGAAAGGAGGGGAGGCTTGTACCTCGGGGGGCAATGGAGAGACTCACACACAGCACAAGGGCCTCGTACCCCCAACTGTCAATGGGCATGGGGGGGGCACCCAGTGTAACGGGGGGGAAATCACATATGGCACAGGGGGGAAGTACCTGAGTGTGCAATGGGGGGGGTCACACATAGCGGGGGGGGGAGGTACCTGAGTGTGCAATGGGGGGGTCACACATAGCGGGGGGGGAGGTACCTGAATGTGCAACGGGGGGGTCACATGGCAGGGGGAGGTACCTGAGTGTGGAGTGGGGGGGGCACACATTGTGGGGGGAGGTACCTGAGTGTGGAGTGGGGGGGTCACACATTGTGTGGGGGAGGTACCTGAGTGTGGAGTGGGGGGGTCACACATTGTGTGGGGGAGGTACCTGAGTGTGGAGTGGGGGGGTCACACATTGTGGGGGGGGGGGAGGTACCTGTGTGTGCAATGGGGGGGGGTCTCACACGGCACGGGGGGAGGGTGTCACGCACGGCATGGCGGGAATTTGCCCGCAAGGGAGGGGGGGCGATTCGCGGAGGG